CGAGAGTGACTACAAGAAAGAAGGAAGCATGAACGGCGAGAACCAGGAGAGTGAGATTGTCCCTTCAGGTAGAGCACCCGCACGAGCCCTAGAAGTCTATACACCTGTCAACCGTAGCTAGGAGGGGATCCAGGTTTTTGGTTTAGAAGGTATGGTTTTAGGGCCAAACCTTCGAATAACAGCTTTCGGCCAAACTGGTTCTACAAAGCTCCACCGCTAGGAGGCTGTACTACGCAGGGCTTCCCCTGAAGTTGCCTATGATGCGGTTTAGGGTTTAGGGATGAGGTCGCTGTCAAAAGAGTTGCCCCGAGGTCATCCCAGACGATATCTGATTGGTACAGCTGGTGCATGTGTTGACACTCTGACCATCATGATGGCAATGCTGGCCTGCAATAACGGCCATAGGTTCTGACCAAACTGTTGCATCAATATACACACCGTCAGCCCTGAAGGCCAAGCCTTCAACCCCAATTGCTGGCGACGAGGTATCTTAGGAGCTGGGAAGGTAACCTTTAACCGTTTGGGTTGTATATTGTGTAATACGAGTGCAATATCAGTAGATGTTAAGCCAACTTGACTTGTTGAGGCCTTTGCAATCTTACTACGAACTGATCGCAAGTACGCTTAACCTGTTGGGGCTTATGTAGCCCTGCTATAAGTAAACAGGGTAATGTCTTTCGGTTGCTTAAATTATGCTACTGTGGCAAGGCGAACGTGTCTAAGGCCAGGGTACCTCAGCCCCTAAGGTATGGGTCCGGCAGGCTCGCCAAGCACCTTCGCTCCTGTCGCTGCATTTGCTGGGGCTCTGAGGGTTCACTTCCCCAAGACTCCAAGTCTATGGGTTTAGGGTTTAGGGTTTAGGGTTTAGGGTTTAGGGTTTAGGGTTTAGGGCTCGGCAGATTTACCTAAACCCTAAACTCTAAACCCTAAACCCTAAACCCTAAACCACCTCCCTAGATCACCCCTAAAGTCTAAAGCCCAAGCCCGGCGCAAGCACACTCCAAATCCAAGCTCGGAACATGTAACCCTAAACCCTCAACCGTAAGCCTATAGATCACCCCTAAGCTTTAAAGCCCAAGCCCGACGAAAGCCCCCAACTGATCCAAACCGAGAGCACTCAGACTCCATTATTTAAAATATGTATATTAAAGACTCTATAACTTAAGGTGAGTTCCTTAATTAAGGGGTATCGGTAATCGTCATTTATATCAAGGACTCGATGATTTAAGGTACATCCCCTCATTAAGGGATATTGGGGTTCTCTGATTCCCCCGAAGCCCCGAAACCCCAAAGCCGAGAGCCCGAAGCCTCAACCCCTGGATCGCAAACGAAACTAAGGCTCGTCATTCGGGTCTTTGGGTTTAGGGTTTAGGGTTTAGGGTTTAGGGGGCCGAAGACCGTTCACAAAAGGCTTCGACTAGCTTTAGAAACCCTAGGCCCTGAACCCTAAACCGAAGAAAAGCTGTTAATTCGGGCTGTACTGCAGAAAAATCGACATGGAAACTGGGTCGTGGCGTTTGGATGTCATGATCCTGCACTTCTACGATTCTAGGCTTGAGCGCACCCTCGGAAACCTAAAGCCCCTCTGTTCGATATAGCGGGTATTCAATAGGTTTCATAGTATAACAGTATGACGCTAAGCCGTAATATAGGGGTCTCAGTAATTACCACTACTCTTGTGGTGGCTTCGTACTACAATTATGGTATAAAGAGCCCAAAACCCTATTCGAATTATTACGGCCCCTAAACCCTAAACCCTTACAGTAGCCCCTATAGAACCAATTCAGGATCCCTTTAAAAGGAACCCTATTCTAATTTCTAAGGCCCCTAGATTAGGCCTAGGACAAGGAGGCTGGTTGGTTCCTTTGGCCCGGAAGGTCGATCATGCTTTGCCAGCCTCCCGTTTAGGGTTTAGGGCTTAGGGTTTAGGGCTTCGGGTTTCAGGGTTTATGGTTTAGGGTTTAGGGTTTAGGGTTTAGGGCTTAGGGTTTAGGGTTTTAGGGCATTTTGTCTAAAACAAGGCTCCCAGACCAAAATATAGGGGCCTTAATAATTAGAATAGGGTTTTGGGCTCTTGTATACTACTTTTTTAGAAGGGAGCCCCAAAATAGTATTGGGAATGATTTAGGCTCCCTACATTATTTCAAGTGCTTGTGGGTCTAGGGTGTGGGTAGGTTCCTCGAAGCCAAGGCAGCTACTTCGTCAATGCAATCGTCGCCGAGGAGAATGCCCTCAAAGTTACCCTAAGGGTCCATGTACCCAAATAGTAGATACAATGGCCCACAGTGCCCAAACAGGGACTACTTTAAGGCCAAAGTCTCTACAATTTGGGTACATGGACCCTTAGGGTCAGACTTGTCAAGCCAGATTATCCAGATCTGAACCCTTCTTGCGCAAAACCCAACCAACACACTAGGGGGTGTTCAGGGCTGTAGGGCTAGGGCCAACAATCTGAGCCCAGAAGGACTATGACTATTTCAGAACGCCGAAAAGGGCCGTAGCCGAGAAATGAATGCACAACACCGGGGTTTATGGCAAACCCAAACATCCTAAAGCCTGAACTCTGAACCCTAAACCCAAAACCCTAAAGCCTGAAATCTGAACCATCTGGACATTGACTGGATTGTGGACAGGAGTCGGAGTGGGCGACACCCGAGGCCCTCGAAGACGTCCTGCTAACAAACTCTTTCTGATGAAAGAAGCTCTTGCACGATACAGAAGTAACAACTGTCGTAGTATAGGACTCCCCACTAGGCTGTCTTCTGGAAATTCCTGCCTGAGTTCGAAAGCCGTCAGGCATTCATGCCACGGCTCAAGCACTAACGCCCTGAATCTCTACACCTCAACCCCTAAATCCTTTCGCCCCGGCCCTGCAGGAGGAGCCCCGAGGCACAGGGTGGAGTCGCAGTGCTTTGCTCGGAGGCGCCTTCGGGTTCTGTCGTGTACCAACAGGATGGTAAGGTTAGGCTTAGTGTATATATATATATATATATAGATAGATAGATAGATAGATAGATAGATAGATAGAGAGAGAGATAGATAGAGAGAGAGAGAGGGTATATATGGGGTATATAAGGAAGCCCTAAGTCAGCTGTCGCTTTGCTGAGAAGGTGCTCTCTTGGCGGCGCTGTTTGCGGTGCGCTGGCACTGGCGGTGAAAAGATATCTCGGAACGATCGCTGGAAGTTCGCTTAACTTTTAAGCATGGTGGTCCGAAGGAGCACACCTTATGTGGGACCTCTAATGGTTAGGACGGTTAGAGACAGCATAATTACTCATATAGGGACATCCTACGCTCCCTGCGCATTTGTATAGCGGTGTCGTGTAGTACACAGGTTACTAGCAGAATGACTCTTCAGGACGCCCTTGCAGCCCAACGCAGTTCTGCCGTGCCTTAAGCAAGTCCTCAGTTTCAGCCCTGCTACCCCAAGCCCAAACCCCAGCTCCAAACCCTTCAAACAAGACTGAGACATAGCCTAAAGCTGTCAACAAACTCTAAGTGTTAGGTTAACTGGAGGTGTCTGAAACTTGCGGGTACCTTTATGAGGGCATTAGAAAACAGAGGGTGAGCAAGGGTTTGACAGGGGGCCTGTTGAAATAATTTTTGGGCAGAAACTTTTCCCAATGCTATTTTGGGTGGTTTCTTATTGTAACTATAGAATTGTATACCCCAAAACCCTATTCTAATTATTCAGTAAAACATGCCGTCAAAAGCCCTGTTCGAATTTTTAAGGGCCCCTATATGGGTAGTTGTCAAAATTATGGTCCCTTTTGGGGTACCCTAAATAATAGGTACCGTATTATTATAAGGACCCAAAAAGGGACCCTAATTTTGACAACCACCCATATCTCTCTCGCCTTCGGATGTTTAGTTCTTTAACTTTGGGGGTCCCTTCCAGGCTCCTTTGTTGCAAGGGCGCCGTACTATTTGGTGGTTTCCGAAATTTGGGGTTTAGGGTTTAGGGTGTAGGGGAAAATTGGGGTACCTTATTTTGACGTCCTTATAAGAAGGATCCTACTATTTAGGGTGCTATATTAGGATCCCCTATTTTCGGAAACCATTTGGTGGACCCAAAACGGGACCCTACTTGAGAGAACTACCCAAGTGTTCTTTGAAGCTCTCATCTGGTACCTGTTGTAAGGCCGGGTTTAGGTGCTCTCTGTCTCTTTCTCTGTCTCTCTCTCTCTCTCTGTCTCTGTCCATCT